AAATATTTTTTATTAAAATATAGTTCGTTCTATAACAAACACCATATTCGTCCAAATTTCAAACTTTATGCAAATATTAAAAAAATTCAACAAAGCTTTATGAAAATTCAAACTATTTTAATATAATTACCTAAATTAATGTTGGTATGCAGATTTATAGCCCATTAAATTTTAGAATAAAGTGCAAGTTTGAAGTTGGTAAAAAATGCGGTTGATTTTTTATAACTTTTATTTTATTTTTTTTTTTGCTGAAGGTGCACGCATTTTTTCCATATAAAAACAATTTTCAAACATACTTCCTATGGAAGATAATGCGTGACAGCGCTAGCAAAAAAGGCTATAAAACTGCGTGCCATATTTTTTTCTAGAAATTCTAATTAAAGAGCTTGAAATTTTAATAATCGGTTGTTAATTTTTTTTTTAATTTTTGTACAAAGTTTGACATTTTAACTTATGATCATTGTTATAGAATGAACTAGATGAAAAATAAATTGTTAAAACTTGTTAATATGTGGGTGTCGTATAGCTATATTACACACTGTAAGAGTATGTACTTAGTATACCCGCCCTAAGCTTTAAGTTAAGTTATTGTAAACTAGGCATAAGGTGACTTGTGTCTATACCATTAGTGACAGAGTTATGGGTCTAGCCCTTAAGGCATGATCGCCCAGGATACCGTTTTGTAAATAATTAGCAGAACAAAGACATTCGATATTTGATAGCGAGAACGACGGACGTGTTTTAGTAACCACTTAGCCTTCTGAATATTTCAACACCCTACTTTTGCTATACTAAAATTACTAAGGCAGTGAGAGTCAAAAATTTAGCTAAATCATGAAAAAGTTTAAAATTATCAGAAAATCATTAAAATGTGTCCGAGGGCAGGCAAGAATGTGCTTGTGTGCTATATATGTATATACTTTAACAATAAAATTGAAAATCCAACTGTGGCATCATTAGCATGGCAGCATGTTCATGCCACTCAAACGAAACGCTGATGAGGAAGGTCAGTTTTGCCCATCTCTTTTGGTTGAGTTAGTCAAGGTCGATTCTAAAATTAAACTATTTCAATTGTAGTTGTTCGGATGCAGGTACATAAGTATAGGCAAGTCGTAGTGGTTTCGGTCCATAAAATTGCAAGCTGCAGATATAGGCATTGCCAATGTAAGTATGTAAGCAAGTACTATTTGCAAATGTGTTAAAAATTGTGTAATGTAGTCTCTTCCATATAGAATATATATAGAATATAATCATTTCATTGCATATACTCTTGCTTATCTTTATCATCTTTATTGCTATTTGCGCATGAAATTTTATAAAAAAGAAAATTATTTTTCATGCAAACGTTTTAATTGAATTTTTAAATAGGACGCATGCATGCAGGTTCGTAATTACAATAAATGTTTTGAGGCAGTTTAGAGTTACCAAGCTTTATTTTACACATATACATTCTGCAAGTTTTTTTTTTTACTGCAGAGGAATGCAATAAAAGTGTAAAAATAAAAAACTAAAATTTATTGAATTATTTCTATCCATCATAAAAATGTGTTTATTTTCAATAACTTGTTGAAAGTAAAATGTAAAAAAAAACTTTAGCTATGATTCAATTATAGATTGACCAGATAAAAGATAAAAACAAAATTAGAGCAATTTTTCTGCAGAAAGCAAATTGAACGGATGCAAAGTTCCCTAAATATTTTTTAAGCAACGAAAGCAAATTAAACGAATTTATTTGAATTTAAAAGCAAAATTTACAGAAAAAACTGGAAAAATCATTTTTCACTTAACTACATTGCTGGGGAAACCTTATTCATAGAAGATGAAACAGAGCTTCTTATTCATGCAAATTATATTTTCGTAAAATGGGAACTATTTCTGCCTCATACATATGCAAGTATTAAATACCTACTGTTTCCGATGTCATCCCTTTAAAAAAAGTTTTTTGGTTCAGAACTACTATGTCTGAATTGGCCTATTTTTCACTAATGAAGTTTTTGGGGACAAGTATCGACGTTTGTTGTCAGAGGTTTATCTTTCTATTTTAAAATTAAAAAAAAAAATCGGCACACTTTTTCCTGAGTAAGGCTTTTATTGGAAAAAAATAGTTACGAAATTTCCTTCTGTAGAACTGAAAAAAACGAAAAATATAAAAAAAACTCATGTCTGGCTGTACAGATATTCGGTTAATATCCGGATATTCTGTTAATATCAGGATTTTGTGAACCTTACCTATAAAATGAAATTTTATTTTCCTTGAACTACTCGCATTTAAGTTAAATGTTTTGCCGAGCTTCTCAATTTGTTCTTCAGGTTTTAATGTTGTTACATAAATGGAGGTACCTACGGTTTTATATATCGATCCCAAACCGAAAACGGCTTTCATGGACAACTTTTTCTAGGCACAAGTACAATCAAAGGTTTGACATTGCCTGATATGGGACCTAGCTCCTATTTAAATAAAGTGCGCACTTCTAAGCACTCTGCTACTCCACTCAAACCGTATTTTTTGCCTTGTACTTAAAGGTATATTATATTACATGTGATGTGCACCTGCAATGGAGAATTTTTGATTTTTTTCACTTCATATGGTAGCATGCATTTTAAACCCAATATTTAATTACTACTTAAATTTCTTTGGTGTCTTTTAAAATCCTTTTTTTATAAGAAATATTTATGCTTTTAAAAAATTTCATCAACATACATACATACAAATGTTTTACTCCTTGTTAAAAAATGCAACTAACACCAGCGGACAGATACGTCCTGTAACTCTCGCTAGAAAAATATCTTTTATGAGCTTTTGCTTTGTCACGCACAATTAAAATATTTCCTTTGTGTTCTGCACAGCTTTATTGTTTTTCACTTCGCACTTTTTATTGAGGTGCAACAAAGTAAATCAATATTTCCACTACTACTTCAATGGCCACAGTAAAAAATGAGTGCATTTTCTGCTGTGGAATTTTAGTCGCAGAGCAAGCAGTAGTGGGTACATCGAATATGTATGTATGTACACACAATCATTGACGCGCAAAAAAGCGCTACACTGAGGCCACATTGTGACCCAGTGCCCTCGCATACGCTGCAACAGGTAAATGGAGACACTACAAAGGCCGTTGTAATTGACTTTTTTTTACGCCGCCCACACACAAAAGCGAATACTGTTGACAAAATTTTATAGAGCGTGCTCGTGTGCTCTCACAACCAGGCGCGTCAAACGAATTTTAATAGAAGTGACTTTTTACGTTAAAAAATAAAATAAAAAGTTATAACGTAGAAATGAGAGAGAGCAGCACGTGGAAATCTAAAAGCGCGTAAGTCAGTAAAGCTTCATATAGGCTCGTGACCCGCCGGAAATCCGAGATAGTGAAGGCTTATTTCAGAGTCTTTTAGCCCACATAAATAAGCAACACATAAAGTGCATACATACAAACATGAATACATACATATCTGCAAATTTACTCTCCAGTGCAGAACAAAATCATTCACCTTCTCTATGCTGTCTGGTAAACATGTAAGGGTTAACTCAACCATATGCAACGTTGCAAATGACGCTGAAGCGCCTTGAGGTATGCAAATATTTTTGAGAAAATCGCTTTTCAACAGGTGCACAGTTGGTGTACTTACACGAAGCTTGTACGTACATATATATACATTAGAGTGGTCCAAAAAAATGTGTATACCAAATTTAGTCGAGATCGGTCAAGTGGTTTTTGAGATAAGCATATGTCATATAAGTGGGTGGTGCCATCCCCATATACCTAAAATTTCTTGAAAACCCACTTTTTTGCTAAAGACCGATTGTACATATATATCGATTTTGAATAAATATTGATGAACTCCTTAGCCACACTCAAATCTAAAAAAAAAAAAACTGAAATTCCGGTACATACACACATATACATAAATTCAAGGCCGTCTTTAAGAAAAGTTGCCTAAATTCGACAATTTTTATGCGATTGCAATAAGTGAGGTCTCATTTTATTTGAAACTAGATTCAATTTTAGATAGTACTCCATATTTTAAAACTGTAAAAATTTTCGATGGTCAAAATTTAAAAAATTAAGAGAAATATGATTCTTTTTTTAATTTACCCGATAAAAATTCCCAACAAGCCTAGTCCGAGAATAGATTATTATATACCAGGTCATATTCGATCTTTGAAATCGAATCAAAAATAGTCATTCAAAAACTCATAAATCTACAAAATCGTATTTTCTGACCTTTAAAAAATCTATAAAAATAGGTAATAATATTTCTCATAAAAAAATAATAAAATTAGGGTGTAGGGTCTTGAAATTTCCAATAAAAGCATTTTCGATGGGCTCCCTAATACATATGTACATTTTTGTTACTTGTAATCAACATATACCCAGGCAGCGAAAAATGGAACTGGTTACAATACATATGTATACCTCGAACAGTACTGGAAAAGCTGGAGAGTTTGACGTACACCACTGAGTGTAAGGTATTATTTTCCGCCTTTTTAAGTTTTTTCGGTATATCATCGGCATTTAAATTCGCATCTTAAAGTATGATATATCGATGTTCTTGTCTCGAAGAGATAATTTCTTTCTTACTAAATTCATTGGCCTCAAGTTCCCTGTTCTCATCCTTCCCACCGGATCTCAATTCCTACCACCTCATTGGCAGTAAATTACGGCTCAACAAAAAACATTAAATCTCAACGATCAAGAAAGAATATTGCTGATTTTTTTATAAGACCTCATGAAAATGTTAATAAAAGTAAATTTGTGTATGCACTTAACCAAATATTTCTTTACGTTGCAATAAGTATTTCCACCCATGTCACTACCCATTTTCTGTTAAACTATTATGTATAATAAATTTGAAATATTCATATTTTTTAATGACATATTTATACTTTCGATATATCGCTAGCATCCCTTAAACTGGTTCACAATTAATAGGGAAAAAGAAAACTGTAGTCTAGCAAAACGAATTTTCTAATAATTTGATTTAAAATGTATCCGGAAACTTACCGGTAAATCCAATACGTACTCGTTTTAGTTTTTGAAAATACTTTAAGGTATCTATACTGAAATGAAAAAAAAAGAATAGTTGAAAATTAATATCACAAAGTAATACGTTCGTCATTAACATTCTAGATGGCTTTAAAATAATCATATTCGTAAATTAAATGCATTACTGAATTTTAAGAACTATCATAACTTCTTACATACATACAGATATAAAGATACTTATATGGTAAGGATTAAGAAGCTAATTTTAAAAGTTAAAAAAAATAAATTTACTAAATGAACCTTTATAATTCCAGCTTCAGAATTTACAAATCCATTCTTGACTAGATTTTGAGTGTGTCCCATCGTGGAAAAGACCGACATACAGGACCTTTTTGCCCCCACAGATCTATGTATTCCATGTTGAGTACAACTTTAGCTGAAAGGAGATAGGCAATTGATGAAGTTTTCATGTCTCAGGCGAAACCAAAGAACGGCTGTAGCGGAAAATAAGGCCTTTTTATTCGACTTAAAGAACTTGCTAATTATTTCAAGAAACTATGGGAATCCTAGTTTAAATTATTTCCAGCTCCTAATATAAATTATTTCAATATTTTATTTCAATTATTTTCTAACTAAGTAGCTATACAAATATTTCTCATAATACCCGTATCGTAAACTTGGAAAACACACACTGTAAATACATACATAGGTATATAATTGCTTAGCTGTAATTATCTCAGTTCACCTTGAGGCATAATTTTCTGTTAAATAGGCCGTACTAAAACGAAGACTAAAAAAAAAACAAAAAAAATTAAAAACAAAACGTATTAAAACATTATATACAAAACCGTAGCAATGTAAAATATGTATGCCCAAAGCACGAAGCTCTTCGCTGTTTGTATGGAGGAGACTAATTTCATTGAATTTGTAAAAGTATAGCAGCACAAGAGATGAAACATCTTTAGGTCAAAATGTTTGATGTTTTCTCTGAATAGGTATGTACATACATATTTGCGCTGTGCACTGTTGCTTCATTTTACAGACACGAAAAAAAACATACAGTGGTCGAAAAGATTATAGCCGCACAATATTTTGAAAAAAAAGAAACAAACTTTCGTAAAAATTTCGAGTTTTTTTCTTAATTCGATTTCCGAGAAAGATTCCGAGTGTGCATTTTTGTGCCCCATTGAATTCTAGTAGAATAAAGGGCAAGTTTTAAATGGCTAAAAATTACCATTGATTTTTTAGAATTTTTTGGTCGAATATGTTACGGTTTTCTTCCATAATAAATAAATAAAAAATTCTAAGAAAATCAACCTTAATTTTTAGCCATTTTAAACTTGTTCTTTGTGCGACTAGAATTCAGTTGGCTATACAAATTGCTAAAAATTTCGAACTTTTTTAATTAGATTTCCTAGAAGGATTCTGAGTACTTTCTAGGAAATCTAGTTAAAAAAGCTCGAAATTTTTACCAAAGTTTGTTCAATCTTTTTTTAGATATTGCACAAAGTTTGAAACTTGGCTTTACACGGGTTTTGTAAAAGAATGAAGTATATTTTTATAAAAAAATTACCTAAATTAAATAAAAATAATAATAATATGCTAAAGTTTGTTGAAATTTGGTGCGGCTATAATTTTACCGACCACTGTAGATAAGTAAAGCTTTCAGTCACGTTATATGTACTGCTACTTTTTTTATTTGTTTGGCTTCATTTGCTCAGAACGTTCAAATTTAGTGCAGCTTTTGTTTTGCTACTTTTCACCAGAAATTGCTGCAGTATTTTTTTTTGTTTTGTTTGCAATATAATTTTGCTTTCTCATCTTACGCTTCCTTTCACACAGCTATGTACCTACAATACCTTAGCCGCATCATTGTCGTTACTGTTGTTGCTCATCTGCCCAAAAAAACAAAAAAATTACAATCACGTCTAATTAATCGGCTCATTTTATTTTGCTAACTGCGCTGGAAGCGATTGTCCCTTGGTACTCGTAATTGCTTTGTTGTTGCTGGGTAACGAGAGAACGATTTTTTCCATGTGATTTTCTATGCTTTTGTTGACTATGATACACTTTTACAATGCAATACAATTACCAACTTCAATGAGATACTCGAGGCGTACTTTTGTTAACAAAAAAATAGCCTAAGGTTAATATTTGAGAAATTAGATTGAAACAAATATGCCTAGTAATGTTGAATGGTAGAATGGATCGGAAATTTCTGAGATACGACGAAGAAATGAGAAAGAGTAGGAGAATGAGCAAAGTAAAAGTGGCATATTTTATAAACGTCATGCATTCGATTGCTGAGGTTAGACCATTTTGTAATTAGAAAACTCTCAAAATCTATGGCCAAAAGTTTTGCAAAAGACTAACGCAACAAACTCTGATTACACAGTTCGACAAATGTTGACTTTTTTGTTACCACTTGAGTAAAACACATTGTTTCTTGTAGTTTTTTTAGTGCTGAATCCAAATCTGGCTACAGAAGAGCCCTACCACGTGAGGATTTTGAGATATCCCAACCTCAAGGTCCCAAAAATCGTGTTTTGAGGTTATATTATGAGAACAATAATTTTTTTTTTTTTATTTCTACTTAGGGCATCATTTAGTACTACTCTTCCCATTTAAAATTCATTTTCGTTTGTTGCGATTCGAGTTTTCTTACTCGAGATATACCAGTTTTATTGTATCATCCATAGCTAATACCGAAGTGCTGCACATTAAAATTGGTTTATCTCGAGAAAGAAAAGTCGAATCTCAACAAACGATAATGAATTTTAAGGAAGAAGAGTAGTACCAAATTGTGCCCTAAGTAAAAAAGAGCAAAGAAAAAACTGTTTGTTTTCGTAATATAACCTCCGATATCATTAAACCCGTGTTTTTGGCAATTTTAGGTTAGTACATCACAAAATTCTGTTCCACAAAAATTGATCTAGTTTCGATAGTCAAGAACAAAAATGGTTGCTTGGATGTATCTATCAATGTAGACAGATAATGCACACACTATTCCAAAAAATTTAGGGAGCAAAAAAAATACCAACTTTTTCGGTTTTTGACAGGCCGTATTTCGGTAAAAGCATGGTCGTATTGAGACTTAAAAAACAGCTTTTGAATCTCTAGGATTCTAATTTTCTTGGCTGAGATTTTTTAGGAGCTACGGTTCTCATCCAATCGTGACTGATAGCGCGAAAAAATAATTTTGCCAGTTTCTTGCTTTTTTTAGTACAAGGGATTGGAAAAAAATCATTTAGGCCGGCATATGGATAAGATGGCCTTTTTATTTAGCTTTAATTTCCAATTTTAAACCTCCCTTAATTTGATTTTTTTTTTGAGTAATGACGCACTGCTGCACTTACCGCCACTTTGTGTCTTAAAGACCACCTGCAGACTAAAAAGAAACAGATGTTGCTGTAGCCCTGAGTGAAGCGAAGTAAGAATTGCTGGTGCCAGAAATCTGAGCACTTGTGTCTTTTCAATGCCACAGGACAGCAAGCACTCTAACTAAATACTTTCAAAATAGTTCGGCGATGCAAGTCTCGAATAAATTATGTTTGTAAACTTAACGAGCTTGCTTTACTCTGGGTGTCAGTTCTCTCGGGAGTAACCTGGTAATGAGACGACTGAGCATTTGGCCAGAGTTCATCAGTCCGCAACCAGTTATAGCACTCCCCATTTCAGCAATCGAAGCCACCATCAAAAACTGTGTGAATACTTGGCTCAGCAATGACTGGCTGAGAGGCAACGAGGGGCCGTACGTGGGCAAAACTCATGTTGCCTTCATTCTGAGAAGGTATATCTGGTTTTTTGCTCTCACTGAGCAGACGGGACTGCAGACAAAATATTGGACTGCTAACTAGTCACTTCACGTGGCGCAAACACCTGACTATGATAGGCATACATGATGCATTGAAGAGGATGAGGCGGTGGAACACTTTTCGAGAGACGAACACCCAAGCTTCGTACAATGGACGCCATGTAGTCTGAGTGCTGCTTTCTGTGAGCGTTGTTTTATGCCTGGTTCCGACACAAAAAATTTTTGCCGAATTAAAAAGGGACACACTTTTTTCTTCCATTAGGAACAGGAAGTGTACAGCCAAAGCTTATGTGTTGTCCCTTAAAGTAATAATAAATTGTAGTCTAACATTTAAGCTAGAAAACAGTTGTCTGTGTAGTTACAACAAACAAAAAAATAGAACAAAGCACCGTTCCCCCAGCAAGAAATTGTCTTAAAAGTTACTTGTTTTTAGCTTCCGCTAAGAGGAAATTGCATAATGACGGCTTGATCTAATGATGATGATTTCATAAGCCATAAAAGAGCAAAGCAGCACTAAACAGATGAAGGCTACTTGCAACAACATTTACATGGCCATAACAAAATTCTCAATTACAACGAACACGAATTGTACAACTCCGGCAAAGTACCAAGAAGAGGCGTAAGGAAAATAGAAAAATTAGTGTTTGAAGAAAAAGCAAAACCAGCTGAAAAAACAATGTTAGTGAAGCATAAAAATATGAATAAAGCAACAACGAAAGGCTGACCGACACTGTGTTACTGAACAATTAACTAACCAAAGATCAACAAAAATAACAGAAAAACAACAACAACGCAGCGGAGTTCACCTAATTTAAAAGAACAGCTGCTGCAAGTAGTTTTATGTCTTACCACCTTTAAGGCGAAGACCTCCGGCATGAAGCCGACACCTTGATTATCTTAACAAGATCGAAAATGACTACAATGAGGATGCACAATACCAACAACATAACAAAAACCAAAACAAAAGGCTAAAAGCATGATAACGCAGCTGCGACATTGCTAACAACAAAAAAGAAAAAGAAAAAAGAAAAATGTTCAACGAAAACAATGCGTTGGGCCAGTTACTCTGCCAACGAAAACGGCATCAAATTGATTAATCAAGTGTTAAATCTGCTGTATCGGTTTTTATTCCGTTTTTTTTTTTTTGGTTGACGCTGTTGCTGCCACAGCTGCGTTATAACTGTAAATAAGTCCGCTTTCCGATCCAAATCTGTCGTGCCGTAATAGCTGACTTGTTGTTGTTGCTACAACTGCAACTCGGTTGAAATAA